TCTCTCTCTCTCTCTCTCTCAGAACCTGGCACTGGGCGGGACATCAATGCCTCAGGCTGCGTCTGTCAATCATTCTGGCTCCTCCTCCTGTCTGTTCTCTCGGCTCTTCTGAAGTGTTAATGTTCATCGCAGACGCTCTGAACGCGATCGATCATCTCAGACTGTTTCCATCCGTCCATCCACGCTCACCGTTACGCCCCGGCAGGACAACCGTCTTATTATCAGGAAAAAATATGACATGGAGAAAAGAAAGAAGGTGCTCTTTTTAAGACAAGAATATTGTCGTTTAACCGGTTCAAGCACTTAATTCCAGTGACGCCCGTCTGTCTGTCGTCTGAGTGCATGTGTGTGATTTACCACAGAAACCCAGAGCGAAATCATCTAGAAAAATGGTTCATTTCATTGTGTTTTCCCATAATACCCTGCAGCCTGTTCCGGAATCTGCCTAATGTAAACTAATGAAGGAGCGCTAGAATCACGCAAGGTCATTTAGATGTGGTTTAGGACTAATGACTAGCAGAAGGGACTGAAACACACAGTATTTTCTGCTGAATCTTCAGGCTGCTGCTACGTGATTCTCTGAGATCAGAACAATCATGCGATGTTCGAGACACTCACGACCGTCAGTGTTTGTGATGATCGATCAGAGAATCTGTTCACAGAGGCAGAACAGACCCGCCCCCGTAAACCCCTCCCACATGTGTAGCCCCACCCACTTAATAATAAACCCCTCCCACATGTGTAGCCACACCCACTTGATACTAAACTCCTCCCACATGTGTAGCCCCACCCACGTACTACTAAACTCCTCCCACATGTGTAGCCCCACCCATGTACTACTAAACCCCTCCCACACAAGGTGGATCTGCAGGTGTTTCTTCAAGGTTCCTGTGAAAACCTGGATTATTGTGAAAAACTATTCTTCTGGAGGGAAACCTGTAGAATGCTGTGGAATGATTTTTACCGTGTTAAAGCGTGTGAGATTAGTAAAAACACACGTGACCCTCGTGTCCAGACCCTCGTCTTCTGCGTGTCTGTGAAATCGTATGAACTCTGAATTGTACGACACCAATGAATGCTTGGCTTCGATCCGCTGCTCATCCCGTCGCGTCTGTCGTCTGTAAATATTCTTTTGAATCGAATGTCCTCACATGGAAACGAAACGAATCTTCGGTTCAGGTCTCTTCATAAGTAGTTAGTTATCTGCGGTGGCGCTTTGATGCTTCCTGTAACAAACTGAAATTAGATACTAAACAAAGATTTTTAATACAAATATTTAAATATCTCGTTCTAAAACTAGATTTACCTTTGTAGCGGCTGCACTACTATTCTTATTTATAGAGACTGATCATTTCTGTTCGTTAGTTATTATAATAATAGTTGTACAGAAATTAACCGAATCCACTGACTGCCAAACGATTATAGAAAACAATATAAAAAAACTATTTTAGAGATGATTTACACTGAATCCACACACACACGCATTTGTTTTCTTTGTCGTTGAAATCGTGACGTGTCCGTCCCTGATTTTTTTTCTTTTTTACCAGTTTTATTTCTTTTGAAGTTCTCAAAGAGCAGGTTGTGTGTACACATAATACTTTTGAAATGTCTTTAATATATGAATGAGTCCCTCCTGAGCTCTTCAGCCCTTTGATTGACAGCTCTCTCAGCCAATAGGCTTTCAGCGTGTGAGCTCTGATGCCTTGATTGGATGAAGCCGCATGTGGCTCGGCGTCTGGTTTTTAAGGGCTAGTCGTGTGTCTCCTGTAGTCCGCAGCAGCTCTCGCTCGTGCCCTGAACACCGTTATTTGGGTTTGATCCGATCCAAAGTCAAGCGTCCTGAAGCCCGGATCAGGACTCGTGTGTTTTCTATCTGAATGCAGCTCCACTGCAGTGTGTGTGTTTAACAGTTACACTCAATGAGGATCAGCTGACTTTAATTTCGCTGTGTTTAGTGTGTGTGTGTGTGTGTGTGTGTGAGTGTGTGTGTGTGTGTGTGTTTTACTCCTGATGCTCTGTAACGTGACAAGAAAACTGGACGCCGTGTTTTTGTCGATCCTCTTTTGCTACGGGGCGCCGGAGTCTGTAGAAAGGGATTTTCCGGCTCGTTCGACTGACATCTTCATGAAAAGCAATGAACATTTTCTAACTGTGTTTATTTACTCTAAAATTACCGCAGTCATTTTTTAAACCCTTCTGCACTGCAGAGCTCATGAAGTGTTTAAAATGGAAATAAAGTCATTTGAATTTGATGTATTTGAAAGTTGGTTTAAGGAAAAAAGATTGTAATTTTTGGTGAGAAAACGAGGCTTATGAACTCTGTTAATCATGTAACATGCAAATAAATGAATATAAAGATTGTTAGATCTCCCTTTAAATGGCATTTATTGTGTTGTTTATTCTGTTTGAAACTAAGTCACTTTACTTTTCAGACACGTCATGAATTCCTCCACAGATCTCAGAAGTCATTTCATAGAATGATTAAAAGGTTTTTTAATAAGTCTTTACAAGTGCACTCATACATAACTGCACACACATGCATAAACGCCTACAAACACACACTTTAAAATACTTTAATTTACTACAAAAATCATATGTTTACCACAGGACCCAACTATTTTATACATAAACATCCCACACACACCCCCAAAAAAAAAAGTTTATTTAAAAAAAAATAAACAATTAAAAAAGCTTTTGCTTTGCATTAAATTAACTTCAAACCGTAAACTTAGAGTTAATGTGGTTTTGGATTGTTTACCTTACCATATATATATATATATATGTGTAGAGGAGTGCAATATGAATTTGTAGGTTAATGATTTATGGGAAAACTGATCAATTCAGACTTTTGCCCTGTAATTAATAATGGCATGTTAATTTGACAGTCATTTAATAGGTTATGTATTATATAACAGATGTTGTTTCTGACAGCTGTGTTGTGGATATTCTGCTGGAGAATTAATTCTGTAGTTTATCTAATATTATCTCAGACATTATGATATACTGCAGCTAATAACGTAATCGCAGTCTGGCTTTATTATTTCACTTTCACACTGAATATCTTATAAACTCAGGTCTTCATAGTGACTGTTATAGTGAAATGTTCATTTCAACATCTGTGAAATAAAATCAGTGTGACGTCACAGTAGTGATGATTTAGAAGCCCGAAACTGGGTTTTCTTCGAATGCTTTACTTTAAAAGCTTTAACAGCTCATTCAGCTCTCACAGGTTATGATTAATATTGATCTGATGATCCTGCACGCGTGTAATTACTCAGAGCAGCATCTTCACGAGAGCAGACACACCCACAGGCTCAAAGAACGACGCACGTCCTGAACATAATTGGCACATTTCTTTATTTTGAAAACAGACGAAACCATTTTCCACGATTTTACTCAGATTCAAACGCACTTCAACAGAAAGCCTGGCGCGTTTTCTTTTTGTTGGATTTTCTCGATTTTTAACATCAGTGCAGCAATATCTCCAATGAAACGCGCATAACAACAGCAAGGACACTAACAGAAGCCACATGTATTAGCTGGGTGCGTGTGAGAAGGCTCTCGTCTCTGGAGGAAGGATTCTCATGCGATGAGCTCCAGATCGAGCCGCGCTGGAAAACTCCCTCCACACGGCAGAACAGAGAGGACAAACATAAACACAGACCGTCTTCATCATCAGGAGCAGTCTGTCGGTTACTTATGCTTGCACATTTCACTGGTCGATGTTAAACGTTCTCCTCTGCTGGTTTGGAGTCGTCGACAGCCTCTGCAAACACCAGAAGAAACCGCTTCACTTCCAGACACACTTACAAACCGTCAGCTACAGAAGCACTGCGGCTCGCACAGTTTTCTGTCAAGCTTCTACAGTTTTATATTGTTGCTAACTCAACTACTCTCTTATAACACCCTCGTAACGCATTCGGGTCTGTTTTGAACCAGAAGAGATACATACATTTTGTTCCTTTACTAAAAATATGACATTTTTTTGAAATTTGTATTTTTCTCTTCCGAGTCCAAAATGACCCGAACACAAAACGTTTGACATTTTGTTTAAAATGTGTTCCTTTACTAAAAACTTGTATGTATGAGGTATCTAAAATACTTCTTACCAAATTATCTATTAGCGTCGGTTGTAAAATATGTGTCCTTTTCCCCATATCTCACACACTTTTGGTAAATGTTGTTGATAAACATGAGTATATATTTTAAGAGAAACTTTAAGAGTTTACTTTGACTGAAAACTTTTCAGAATAATATTTATGTCGTTCTGATGTTGTTTTGTTTCATACATTTAGACTTTTCATTAGTTATAAATTCAAAGGAATTTCACTGAATTCCATTCATTCATTAATCTGGTAATTCTCAGTATAATAATTTCAAATAACAATTCAAATACAATTTCATGTGTACTTGACATTACCAAGAATTCCAAAGCTTCTCTATAGTCTAAAAGGTTCTTTAAAGGGGTCATATGATGCTGCTAAAAAGAACATTATTTTGTGTATTTGGTGTAATGAAATGTATTTATCCGGTTTAAAGTTAAAAAAACACATTATTTTCCACATACTGTACATTATTGTTTCTCCTCTATGCCCCGCCTTTTTGAAACGCGTCGATTTTTCCTTTCTCTTTGGAGTGTTACAAGCTCTTGGTGCATAAAGAAGATCTGTAAAGTTGCAAAGACTAAAGTCTCAAATCCAAAGAGATATTCTTTATAAAAGTTAA